AGGAAACCTTGTACTGTGATTTGAATTGAAGGCAATATCCCATAACTTTATTATGCCTTGAGAATAGTAAGTGCTTTAGTTGTGATGCTTAGGCTCAGATTTTGACTCTTGTATAAGTACCTTAATTTGTATGATCTTCGCTTTGCTTAGCTGCTTTGACTAGAGTGTCTTGATAGTCCAATCCTGAGTGAGTTATATGCCATGTGTGTGAGAGGTTTTGTGTATTTTGTGCATTGCATTTGATGTCTAGAACTTGCCCCGTGTATTTGCAAAACGAAATAGTAGTTTTATTCAGTCTTGGAAGTGATATAGGCATTTCTTTGTTGAGCCAGATATGTGCTACTACCCTCCTAATTGTTATGTATCTTAGTTAACCCCTTTGAGCATGTAATCCTGTTTCTTTGGCAACCACATTATAAGTCTTACTCATTTGTTTGAATTGACCGTCTATTTGAACCTTGTACCTCTAGTGAGCACTTGAATTTGTTATGAACTTTGTAAAAGTTGAAGTGTGGGGTGGGTGGTTTGGCTTTTGAGTGGAACTATTGAACTAAGGAGAAAAGTGCACTATTTTGAAAAAGCAAGAGCCACTTAAATTGGAAAAGAAAGGAAAAAATATAAGTATATGATTGTGAAATATATTCTTTGATAGTGGTAACTTGATGTAATTGTGCTTAAAGAAGTAGGGAGTTAAAGTATATTGATGTGAAGGTGGAATTATGGTTTTACATAAGTGTGGGGTTTTGAACGTTTAATTGTATGTATTAAAGTGCTTAGGGAGGTGTAGTCACTTTTATATCTAAATGTATCATACCCATCCCGCAGCCTACATTACAACCAATTAAAGTCCTATTTGATCCTTGACTGAATGAGCTCAATTAGTAGAGTAGTACACTAAGGGCAAGCCTATGTTACGTCTTTTGTGGCATATGAATGTTGTTTCTGAGAGTGAGCGAATTCTTTCTATTTTGAGTTCCTAATTGTTCTTAAATTTCATTGTGTGTGAAAATACTCTCTATTGTTGTGTGAGGGCACTTGATTCACGAAGGAAAGGTAATGTCGTTGACCTCTGTGTTAGAGTAAGTGAGCGAGTTGTGAAAAATACGTGGTGCTTTTGAGTCAAATCTTGAGGCGAGGATGTTACGGTATTGTGCTTAATATGTTTTAAATAGTCTTGGTGTGATGAGTTATGAGAGTTGTTGAAACAGGTCATGTCCATATGAATTGTAGTTTGATTGTTCGAGGACGAGCAATGGTTTAAGTGTGGGGTGTTGATGGTAGGCTATAATCTCATGTTTTAGTCGCTTATTGCACTCTAATTCACTGCACTTTACTTGTGTTGAGCTTTAATTGGTAGTGTTTTGCACTTATTGTGTGTTTTATGCCTTGTAGGAGTTATTCCGAACTATGTAGATATTGTGGAGCTAATTCGAGCTATTTGGAGCTTTGAAGTCTGAGTAAAAGCCCAAGGGATTAAGCCGGGATCGTGTTCGGGGATCGAGGACCAAGTCTGGACGTCAAAAATCAAGTTTGAAGCTGTACTCTGAGAAAAGTACCTTGCCGCGGCGCGTGGGGTACAGCGGCTGTGCAAAATCCTGCTGCCTGCAAATTGTTGGCTCTCTGGATTTCCCCACTAATGACCCGCATGGCGTGTCGCCCCATGCGGCGCGCCTGTGCAATTTTTATAGAGTAAAAGTCCTATTGTGGCTAGGAAAGGGTGGTTTCGTCTGGGCCTGACCCTACTTGGTATAAATACATGAAAAAATATTATTTTCTGGACTTTTGACATACTTTGGACCTAAGGAGGCTAAGGAGGAGTTGGAAGAACATAAGTACAAGGATTTCATCATTCCTTCCTCACTCAAGACCCGAGTTTGGATTGAATTTATGTTTTTCTATACTTTAATTTTATTTGTGATGAATTTCTCCATATCTATGGAGTAGTTCTATTTAGGGTTTGATGGATTTGGTGTATTGATGAGTGTTTGTGGATTATAACTCTAGTTTTATGTATTGAACGTTTTTTTGGATGATTTAATTGTTGCATCTTTATTCACTAGTTCATGTAATCGAAAGAGGCATAACTTGTGATATCTTTGCATTATATTGTTGGTTGAGTTCATAGATTCTTCTAAGTAATCGAAAGAGGCTAGTTGAATCATTGATTAAACCTAATTAGGAGAATAACCGAAAGAGGTTTTCCTAAAGACTAATCCATTACGCATTCTTGCATGTCTTCACGTTCTTAAATTGGTTCATCTTGTGAGGTTAAAACTTAATCGAGAGGGGAGTTTTTGCCGAACGTTTGGACTAATAATTGAGTGAATTCAAAAGACTCACTTGAACATTAGAAGTGAATTATCTAGAGTTAGATCCCGAATAATTATCTTACACCTATCCTATCGAAACCCTATCTTCTCCCATTGATAACCTTCTTTGCTTATTCCTTGTTTCGATTGTCATTAGTCAACAACTTTAGATTCTTAGTTAATTTTAGTTAGACATCTTATAAATCTCAATTGTTGATCATCTTGGATAGCAACCAAGCTAGAAACTACGAGAATATTGTTTAAATCAAATCACTGTGGATACGATATTATACTATACTATATTTGATTAGCGAGCAGAATTTAAGTGTGTTTTGCGCTCATCAAGGGCAATGGTGTCATGCACTATACATGTGCTGAGATTTGATATACTTAATGATTTAACTATGATATTGTCGATTCTGGTATGTATACTTGTCATGCAGGTATCGAGTTGTATTTCTTCTTTTATGATTATTGATACTTGATGTATGTATTTGATGTGTTGAACTTGGAATCAGTTAGATTAAACCATGCTTAGATGATTTCTGTGGAAGAAGTTATGCCTTAACTGCTATTCTTGAAAAGCATGCTTAGTATCCCGTTATTTGTGAAAGGTTGAATTTGATATTACTTGAGCTACATTTATTTACCGTTGTTGTTGTAATTGGTTATTGGTAATGAGTATTGGACCTTGACGAGCTCATCACTGCTTTCAGCTTGAGTTTAGGCTTATTACTTATTGAGTACATGGGGTCGGTTGTACTCATACTATACTCTGCACTTTATGTGAAGATCCAGGTGCTGCTGAGAAGGGTGATTGCTAGGGTGTGTCACCGGTATCAGCTTTGGGAGATTCGAGGTACCCGTTGTTCCGTTTGCAAGCCTTGAAGTCCCTTTTTCTCTTAGCTTATGTCATTAGTGTTCTATCTTTGAGATAATTTTGTATTTTGAACAGACTCTATATTTAAATTATGTGGCACTTATGTACTCGTTGACACCTAGATCATGGGATGATTTTAGTTGTATTATTGCTAATGACTTCAGTTATTTATGATTATTCCGATGTTGAGACTATTTATCTCTGTTATTTAAGCTTGTTTCTACTTATTGAATGCTTTCTAGCCTAGCAAGCAGTGTTAGGCACCGTCACGGCTTTGGTGAGATTTAGGGTCGTGACAAGTTTGTATCCGAGCACTAGGTTTCTTAGGTATCACAAGTCATGAACAAGTCTAGTAGAGTCTTGCAGATCGGTACTGATACGTCTGTACTTATCTTCGAGAGGCTACATGGTTGTTAGGATACTTCACTTATTTCATTCTATGTCATGCAGATTTGTTCATCCTTAAGTCTGAATCCTTGATTTTCTATTCTCTGATAGATGGTGAGAACGCGATCATCTGGTGCAGCTAAGCAGGCGTCGGTACCCCAAGCTAGGGCCGTGGGAGGCCGGGGTCGAGGCAGAGATAGGGGCGGAGCACGCGTCACAGCTAGAGCCCCTGCTCGTGAAACTGCTGTTGAGCCACCAGTAGCTCATGTTGAGGAGCAGGTGCATGATTATGTAGAGCCGGAGGTTCCCGCTCAGGTTCCCCAAGGCTTAATTGGTTTTCCAGCTGTTCAGGATGCCTTGATCCGCATGGTTGGTTTGTTCGAGAGTTTGACTTAGGCCGGGGCATTTCCTACTGTACCGGCTACTTTCCATGTAGGGGGGGAGCGCGGATTTGTTTATCCTTAAGTCTGAATCCTTGATTTTCTATTCTTTGATAGATGGTGAGAACACGATCATCTGGTGCAGCTAAGCAGACGCCGGTACCCCAGGCTAGGGCCGTGGGAGGCCGGGGTCGAGGCAGAGATAGGGGCAGAGCACGCGCCACAGATAGAGCCCATGCTCGTGAAACTGTTGTTGAGCCACCAGTAGCTCCTGTTGAGGAGCAAGTGCATGAACCCGCTCAGGTTCCCCAAGGCTTAATTGGTTTTCCAGCTGTTCAGGATGCCTTGATCCGCATGGTTGGTTTGTTCGAGAGTTTGACTTAGGCCGGGGCATTTCCTACTNTTTTATGTGACCGCCTAAAAACTTGACATTCCATCAGAAGATCTCAAAGAAAAACACCATTGGAGTATTGCGCGAGAATATGACAGAGCCTCTACAAAAAACTCCACTCCGACGATCACTTTTTACGTCCAGACCTCACTCTCCTCTCTTCTCTTTTTTCAGGAAAAACAACACATGCAACCCCACACCTTATCCAAAATCTCACCTTCGAACTTTCAGATCTGAAGATCGGAAAGCTAAAAAACCATTCACATTGGGTGACAGAGGGAAAGATAAGGCACATAGATTTTGGAGTGAGATAGAGACAGAAAGAGGAGGGAAAAAGTTTGGAAGAACTTGATAGATTAGGAGGGTATAGGCTGAAATTCTTTTTGTTAAAATTGATAGTGGTTAATAAAAAAGGAATTGGATAAAAGGTATATATTGAGTGCCGGATAGCCATAGAGGGTAAGAAACTTCTAGATTCTCTACGTTATGAATACAGCGGTTGATTTCTAATATAAATCTATGTGCAATACAAACTATGCACGGAAGAGCCTATCACTGCAGCTTCCCCAGTTAGATTTTACTGGCATGCGCGGTTCATACTTTCACAGTACTCACCCCTTGAGGGTGAAACATCTTTTCGTCTTTTACAGAAATAAGGAAATACTCTCTTTCAATTAACATGCCTTCTTTTTTTGTGATAAGGTCTCTTTTCCAATTAATCTAATTCCCAATGTACCTCTGTTAGGCTTTTAGAGGTCATCGAGTCATACAACAATAAATTATAAAGAGAAGAAATTTAAGAAGAGATCAAATATAACGCTTCACACCCTCCATGATCGGTTTTAACAGCAAACATTCTAGCACTTACAAGGCCAACCCGGGACGGGAGTGAATGGCAGTGCCCATCTTATCTTAAGACGTCAAAAGGTGCACATCTAGTTAGTTTAAGCATAGTAGTTTAAGCTGGCTTTCTTCTTAGCCTGAACCTGAATGATACCTTCATTGAAATCTTCATGGGTAACCTGCAAAACAGTAAAATTAAAACAAACGCTTATAGCTTGCAAACCATAGGAAAATTGGGGAATGTGTTTCTCTACTATTGATTAGTTTCAATCTTAATTCATGGTTCATAACCAACAACTATCAAACCAAACTAGTTGAAACCCTCTTGACAAGGATAAGAGGATACATATCACCATCATAATCCGCCTTTTGACTGCTAAAACCAAAGACCTTAAGGGCCTGTTTTATTTGGACCGGTGTAATGATATAATCTGAACTTTTAATTACCAGTTGAAGGTCCCAACTAGTGTATCATAAACTGAAGTTTACAAGCGTGCTACATAATTATACAACAAGTGGGAATAAGAATTTGTCAACCATCAATCTAAAATACAATACAACTCTTTTAGCCAAAAACACTCCTTTGCATCTTTGTGACTTTTCACATAGCTTTTACATGTAATATTAGAATGAACAGATCACATTTCACAAACAAATTTGTAATATGCTTCTCAATACTTAAACTTTTGCCTTGTTCAAGTTATTTGGATGTTAAGCTTCTAACATCTTCAGTTAATTCAAACATCTTCAACTTTTTAGGCCAACTAACATGATAAGACGCAAGAAATATTGTGGCTATCTTCTGCTTTTTTCCGATTTTAGGCCAGCTAAAATGATCAGATGCAAGAAACATTGTGGCTATCCTCTGTTTCTTGTTCTTTTTTGACGGATCCAATTTTTTCCTGAATTAAATTACAGAAACTAAGCCAAACAGATAAAGATCATAGCCAGAATATCAGCACAACAGAGCATGTCATGCACAAGTGGGAGCAGCCACAAATAGTAGAGAAAGAGGGGAGAAAGAGAGAGACCTCAGTGGCATCACGGCGGAGTGCTAACATCCCTGCCTCAACACATACAGCTTTTAATTGAGCCCCATTAAAATCATCTGTGGATCGAGCCAGTTCCTCGAAATTCACATCGGGGTGAACATTCATCTTTCTAGAGTGAATCTGCAATTCCAATAGAGAATCAAAAGAAACCAAAAATATTGAAGAACTTGTTTCTTAGATTAGGGATAGGGCGCATCAGATATACACCAATTTTAGAGGAAGACCTACCTGCAAGATTCGAGCCCTAGCTTCCTCTGTGGGATGGGGGAACTCAATTTTACGATCCAATCGACCAGATCGCATCAAAGCAGGATCCAAAATATCAGCCCGGTTTGTTGCTGCTATAACCTGAAGTAAAGGAAAGAGACTAATACAATTCACTCAAACATAGAGAACCAGAATAGTAAAAATACCATGAAACTTTTTGCACTGATGTGCAGCTAAATTTTACGACCCCAACAACAAATACTAGAAAATTGGGAAGGGAATATTTTTCTCAATGTCCAAACTAGTTTAAGATGGGTAAAAGTAGAAAGTACAGGCAAGAGAATAACCTTTATCCTATCGTCACTGCTGAAACCATCGAGCTGATTAAGTAACTCCAACATAGTTCGTTGGACCTCTCGATCCCCACTAACTTCACTGCAATCAAACAACATAAACTAGTAAGTTAAGGTCCAGCAGTATCGCATCTATAAGGAAGTTTGGAGTGACATTTCTTTCATGAAGTACAAAGTAATCATATTTTCAGTCATAACATATATCAACAGTCTACACACGCGCGCGCGCATATCCGTGTGTGCATGCGTACGTGTGTGCGTGTATCTCTGTAAGATTCAAACATTTGTAAGTGAATAGAACATCAGCAAGACTCTGCATATTATATAAGGAGATTTAGAGTGAAATTTCTTTCATTATGCACAAATATTAAGAGTCTGCATACTTACTGTGTGTGAGTGTGTAAGATTCAAACATTTCTAAGTGAAGAAAACATCAGCCACATAGTTACCTATCAAAACGCTTTGTGCCTATAGCATCAATCTCATCAATAAAAATGATGCAAGGTGATTTCTCCTTTGCCAGCTGGAAAGCATCACGGACAAGTTTTGCTCCATCTCCAATGAACATCTGCATTTAGTACAAGATTCCATTGATAAGCAGTATAAATGAGACGCAGTTGTTCTATGCACTACTTGGGTAGTCAGAACGCCGAACAGTAAAAACATAATCTTCTAAATGCAAATTATCTGTCATGATATCAAGTTTTCTTTCAGAAACAATAACTCTAGTCAATCAATTTATGGAAATTAGCTGACACATTCAATATCAATAGCAAATTATGCCTATTTCATGTTGCGAAAGTCTGTCACGTATAAGGTCCGCATAGCATTACTTTAAAATTACTAGCAAGAAGATAAGAGTATTTTCACGCACTGGACATATGGATAACAGGGAGATGGTTGCTTGACATCCAAATCATACTGTAAACAAATAACTTAGAGAGAGATGAAATTTCACGGAATAACACTCGTATATATTGAGCTCGTAATGGTACCTCGCAATTCAAAAGTTTAGTCTCCAAAGCGAGCAGCAGTGCTACTACGATCTATAGATTTCCCATCTATATCCAATCCCAACGAGAATAGAAGCGAGTCGCTTCNGACGCGATACAAAAGACGACTTTCGAGAGTCGCTTATCCCCTTGAACTCTTCTCTCAAAAAAGACGTTGTGCGGGCAAGTCGATCAAAATCAGTTATTGTATGAGGTCTACCCAATGCTAGATGCAGAGGCGCATAATAGATCGATATGAACATCATGAATTGTCCCGTAATAAAACCAGTTGTTGTTGATACCTTCTTCTCGGTTCCTTCTTCCATAACCAGAGCTCAGATAAGGAAGAGATAAGAGGGCCCTATGGAGAATGTGGTCAGAAATCCATAATAAAGTCCGACCACAACGACCGAATTGATTATCTTACATGCATAAGGATACTAGATTACCCAGTAGAAAAGATTGAAAAATCATCACAAACCTCCCTTATTTCTTTTCTATTGCAATTTCTGGATTATTATATGATGATTTTTGAAAGCATCTCGGCGAAAGAAGACTGAGAACCATAAGGCGAGCGCCAAAACGCTAGCACAAACTGCTCCCACAGACACGCATGATAAGGGGGTGTGGGGACAACCAGGCCACCACTTTTACCAGATATGGGTCCGGACGACCCAAGAGCCCGCCACTAGAACCCAACCCTTAAGAGGCTAAGGTCCAAGGGGCTACCGCAGGAAGTCAGCTTCACCTGTAACCTTAAGGAATACAGAAAGTTACCCGGAATTCCTAGCAAGGACTTTGCCTGCTATTCATTCCTAAATCCCTTTCACCCTTAACTAGCTAACTTGATGGGACGTCAACAGCGGGAATGCCAAATGCAAGATCTGGACCTGGAATTGCATTGCCAACCTCCTGATTGTCTTCTTATCATTTTCCGTTGCATGTTTGGGATACGTTTGGTGTTCAATATATTCCCTGATGTCAGTAAACCATGATTTACCGTTGGGTGCCCTTTCAATGGCCAAAAGATCACTATTGAACATGCCGGGAGTCAACTCAAAAAATTCTATTAGGTTGCAATACACCGGGCTACTTCTTTGTTCTATCATGATTGGGCGGACTTTCCCTCAGGAATGATTTGAGAATGAATGCGAGAGTGGCATCCTGCCCTTGTGTATGTATAGATATGCTGCTTCCTTGATTTACTTTAGGTCCACCCCCAAAGTAGCCTAATGACCTAGACATATTCCAAGGTGGCACTTGTTTTCGAGTGTGCAAACTACATTTTTTTTAAAAGTGTTTGTTTGAGTTTTTTTTTTTAACAAAAGTAGTAACTTTTTCTCTTTGATGAATTCCAAAGTCAAATTTTCACATCTTTCGAAAAATCCAAAAACTAGATATATCAAACACATAGGCTTTAACTAAAAAGGGCAACCCGGTGCACTAAGCTCCCGCTATGCGCGGAGTCCGGGGAAGGGCCGGACCACAGGGGTCTATTGTACGCAGTCTTACCCTGCATTTCTGCAAGAGGCTGTTTCCACGGCTTGAACCCGTAACTTCCTGATCACATGGCAGCAACTTTACCAGTTACGCCTAGGCTCCCCTTCAAGCACATAGGCTTTAACTGAGATTTATAAATGTGTATTAAATGTAAGTAAATCGAACGAACAAGCTTTTGACAAGATCATCAGTAAGTTCAATACGAGAACCACCTAGCATCTTACTTAATGTAATTGCAACAAATGCATTTTAGAGCAACCTAAAATGCTCTAAGTTGTGGTACTCTGGAGTCATGAAGGGTAAGAATGAAGTGGGTATTTTGGTGGACACTGGACTGGGATCTTCGAGACTGGTAGAGGTCAGGCGGGTGAGTGATAGATTAATGACTATTAAGCTAGTGATTGGGGAGTGCACTCTAAATGTAGTTAGCGCTTACGCACCGCAGGCGGGCTTGGATGAGGAGGTTAAAAGGCGCTTCTGGGAAGGGTCGGATGAGATTGTGTAGTATCCCGCCTGCTGAGAGGTTATTTATAGGAGAGGATTTCAATGGTCATATTGGGTCGACTGTTGATGGCTATGGCCTGGTGCATGGCGGCTTCAGCTTTGGGGTTAAGAACAGAGGAGGTACTTTGCTGTTTAGATTTTGCTGAGGCATTTGAGCTGGTGATTGCGAACTCTAATTTTCCGAAGAGGAGGGAGCATTTGGTTACTTTCCAAAGTACGGTGGCAAGGACTCAGATTGATTACATCCTCCTCAGGAGGTGTGATAGAGGGTTGTGTAAGGACTGCAAGATTATCCCGGGGGAGATCCTAGCGACGCAGCATAGGCTCTTGGTGATTGACGTCGGTATCATGATAAAGAGGAAGAAGAGGTTGGCACGAGGACGACCGAGGATCAGGTGGGGAGCCTTGACTAAGGATAAAGCTCAGGAGTTGGAGGGGAGGTTATCGACTTTGGGAGCCTGGAGGAGTAGTGGAGACGCAAGCGCTATGTGGACGACGACGGCGAACTGTATAAGGGAGGCTGCGAAAGAAGTGTTAGGGGTCTCGAAAGGTTACTCGGACAGGCACAAAGGCGACTGGTGGTGGAATGAAGCGGTCCAAGGTAAAGTGGAAGAGAAGAAGGTGGCGTACCTGAGGTTAGTAGGGAGCACAGACGAGGAGGAGAGGAGAGCGAACAGAGAGAGGTATAAGGTAGCTAGAAGGGAGGCGAAGTTGGCAGTCACGGAGGCTAAGACTGCTGCGTTTGGTCGTCTGTACGAGGAACTGGGGGACAAAGGCGGGGATAAAAAGTTATTCCGGCTGGCCAAGGCTAGGAGAGGAAGGCTCGAGATCTGGACCAAGTGAGGTGCATCAGAGATGAGGACGGTAGAGTACTGGTGGGAGAGGCATAAATTAAGAGGAGATGGCAGACTTACTTTCATAAACTTCTGAATGAAGATGGTGACAGGGAGATTGTGCTAGGTGAATTGGGGCATTCCGAGAGTCACCGAGACTTTGGGTACTGTAGACGCATTAGGGTTGAGGAGGTTGTGGGGGCTATGCGTAAGATGAGTAGGAGTAGAGCGACCGGACCAGATGAAATTCCGGTAGAATTTGGAGGAGTGTGGGTAGAGCAGGCTTGGAGTGGCTGGCTGGGCTGTTCAATGCTATTTTCAGGACGAAGAGGATGCCGGATGAGTGGAGGTGGAGTACGGTGGTACTGTTGTACAAGAACAAAGGCGATATCCAGAATTGTAACAACTATAGAGGTATCAAGTTACTAAGTCATACCATGAAAGTGTGGGAGAGGGTGGTAGAAGCGAGGGTGAGGAGGACTGTGTCTATATCCGACAACCAGTTCGGGTTCATGCCGGGTCATTCAACTACGGAAGCTATCCACCTTATTAGGAGGTTGGTGGAAAAATACAGGAATAGGAAGAAGGATCTGCACATGGTGTTTATTGACCTGGAGAAAGCGTATGACAAGGTACCTAGGGAGGTTCTTTGGAGATGTCTGGAGGCGAAAGGTGTGACGGTTGCTTACATTAGGGCTATTAAGGACATGTATGATAGAGCTAAGACTCGGGTTAGGACAGTAGGAGGAAACTCGGAGCTTTTTCCGGTTGTTATGGGGTTGCATCAAGGATCTGAGCTCAGCCCATTTTTATTTGCCCTGGTGATGGACGCACTGACACACCATATTCAAGGCGAGGTGTCATGGTGTATGTTATTCGTTGATGACATAGTTCTGATTGATGAGACGCGAGGCGGCGTTAAAGAGAGGCTAGAGGTTTGGAGACAGGCCCTTGAGTCTAAGGGTTTCAAGTTGAGCAGGACTAAGACAGAATACCTGGAATGCAAGTTCAGCGCCAAGTCGAGGGAAGCGGGCATGGACGTGAGGCTTGAATCACAGGTCATCCCCAAGAGAAGTAGTTTCAAGTACCTTGGGTTGGTTATCCAGGGGGAAAGGGAGATCGACGAGGATGTCGTGCACCGTATAGGGGTAGGGTGGAATGGAGGTTAGCATCTGGAATCCTATGTGACAAGAAAGTGCCACTGATGCTCAAAGGTAAGTTCTATAGAGCAGTGGTTAGACCAACCATGTTGTATGTGGCAGAGTATTGGCCAGTTAAGAACTCACATATCCAGAAGATGAAAGTAGCAGAAATGAGGATGTTGAAGTAGATGTGCGGGCACTCTAGGATGGATAAGATTAGGAATGAAGATATTCGGGAGAAGGTGGGCGTGGCTCCGATAGATGACAAGATGCGGGAAGCAAGACTCAGATGGTTCGGGCACGTGCGGAGGAGAAGCCCAAATGCCCCAGTTAGGAGATGTGAGCGGTTGGCTTTGGCAAGTACGAGAAGAGGTAGAGGGCGGCCCAAGAAGTATTGGGGAGAGCTGATCAGGCAGGACATGGCGAGGCTTCAGATTTCCGAGGACATAACCCTTGATAGGAAGGTGTGGAGGTCGAACATTAGGGTTGTAGGTTAGGAGGTAGTGGAGCACTTTTCTACCTCGTTCCGGGTGAGAGGAGTCAGATAAGGTTGTGTCCTAACTTGCTAGTGGTTATTGTTGTGTCCGCACTATTCTTCAACTTTTCATAGTACCGAACCTTACTTACGTGTTATTGTTATTGCTTTTCATCTATATTCTGGGACTTATGATGCTGTTATTATTTCTATGGTTTCTGTTGATGGTACTGATATATTGTCTTTTTCGTCTCCTTGAGTCGAGGGTCTATCGGAAACAGCCTCTCTACCCCTTGGGGTAAGGGTAAGGTTTGCGTACACTCTACCCTCCCCAAACCCCACTTGTAGGATTTTATTGGGTGGTTGTGGTGGTTGTTGCATTTTAGAGCAACCATTTGTCCCAATTGAGAGGAAAGAAGCAAACAGGGGATACATTACTAATAAAAAAATAAAAAAAATAAGAAAACAAGAATAGTGGATACAAGATACTAGAGTAACTTGCACATACAGAGTATCTCGTATGAATTCAAGCAATTGAACACAACAATCACTGGAAGTAGAATAAAACCACCTGCACAAGTTGCGGCCCTGCTAGCTTAAGAAAAGTGGCATTTGTCTGTGCAGCACAGGCTCGGGCCATGAGAGTTTTCCCGGTCCCTGGAGGCCCATACAAAAGGACTCCTTTTGGAGGGCGGACGCCTAATTTCTGGAACCGTTCTTTGTGTGTCATAGGCAAAACAATTGCCTCTACGAGTTCTTGAATCTGTTTCTCCAGACCTCCAATATCATTGTAGTCTTCAGTTGGTTTTTCATCAACTTCCATTGCCTTTACCCGAGAATCATATTCAGATGGCAATGTATCTAATATCAAATAACTGTCTTTGTTTACTCCGACAAGATCACCAGGCTTTAACTTATCCGGGTCAACAAGGCCAACAACAGGCAGGAAAATTGTCTACAATTGCCATGAAGAAGGACTGAATTAGTAAAAGACATTTGCTAAATCCAAATGGCTTTCAAATGGAGAACAAGGATCTAGTTGTGAAGTTCAACCATAAAAAGGATATAAATGCCAAAGAAGTTGTGGTAGTATATATTAAAAGAGCACTAATTAGAAGAAGAGAATTTAGGCAGTTTCTGTGACATTGCATCCCAAAAAAGATAGTCATACAATTTTATGAGTATAACGACTCACCTGGCGCGTGGACGTTTTCAGTACAACACATTTGCCCTTCCTTTGTGAGTCAAGATCAATATTTGCACCATCCTCCTCATCCTCTTCCTCTGGATTCATTTCCAAAATCTGAAAAGATGAGGATCAAATGAGTGCCTCAAAGATAAACTGCTCTACCCTCCATCTCTGCATAACACCCTTTATTAACAAAACAAAATCCATATTATATTAAAAGCACGAAGGCCCTTAACGAAATGTCGTTCGCCTTTTTTGCCCTTTAAAAATAAAGTTCACACCGGATATAATAGTCATTTAATTATTTTTATAATATTTAGAAATAGACTTAATTATTTTCCTACTATTTAGCAATAGTCATTTAATTACTTTCCTAATATACATGACTTTAAAATTAACTAAAATTTTGGTTATTAAATATTTTCCTATTTGAAAATTCTAGGAAATCCTAATATTTAGGACTAAAACCAATTAAATATATTTAGAAATTTATTTGACGTCAACTAGAAGAAGAACAACTAAATCCCAATTCAATTCAGTTCCAAATTACAATTTTGATACTTCTTCCTATCAAATTCGAAAGACGAATTTCACGTGATAATTGGATTCTTAATTATGTAATAGATATAAAGCAAACATAGGTTAACACTATAAGTACGTTACCCAAAAAAGAACTACGTATAAGAGTATATTATAATAATTTTAAAATATAATTTAAAGAATTTGAAGTCAAGTATGAACTTTTTCATTTTTATTTTTCTAGAATATTTTACCTTGCCGATAGAGATTTTATATGGGACAAACTTATAATTTAATTATTTTTCTAATTTTTAGAACTTCTAAATCAACTAAATTTTTGTTATTAAATAGTTACTTTTTTGAACTATGTAGGAAGTTCAAATATATAGAACTTTAAAATCCATTAAGATTTGACGTTATACAAATTATTTTCATATTTTAATTATGTAACATAACTATAATCCTTTTCATATTATTTGATGTAATATTTAGTACTTTAAAATCAACTTTTATATAAGAGAAGATATATTCATTGTGAAATGTAGAGACAGTTATTAAATTGTATAAGGAGTTAAAAAAGAAACATTTCCATAATCCTAGGTAAATAAAAATAGGTTAAAAAATATTCCCAAAGTTTCTGACGTACGTAAATAAAAAAGTAAGATGACTAATAATATAATTCTAATGTAAATAACTCTAGGATTATATGAGTTCTTTTTAGGAATGTATTATTTACCTTTTTCAGTCAATTGCTTCTTAAAAAATTTCATATATACTTAACAATTGACATGTTTTGTTAGGGAATGTGTTTTGGTGTTGTCTTCAAGAATATTTTTTCCATCCCTATGATTTTGGTTCTTTTATACTCCCTCCGGTTCACTTTAAGTGATTTTTTGGCATTTCTTTGTGGTCCACAGTATTTGATTTTTTCAAATATCAAGAAAGACTTAATTTCTTTTTTCCAAAGTTGCTCTTGGAGTAAAGAGCCTAGGAATATTTGTTGTATTTCCAATGAACAAATTAAGGTTAATACGGTCAATTACATTGTTAATTAATGCTAAAAGGTGAATTCCTTAATATGTATGAAAATAGCCAAAAAAATCACTTAAAGTGGACCGGAGGGAGTACCTTCTACGCGGTAAGTACTCCGGAAATCTTACTTCGGTGAACCTCCAAACCAATGTGCATTGGTTTAAGACACTAATTTCTACCCAACTTTGGATTATTGATTAAAAAAATCTTTCACATGGTCATTCTCCCCCTCTCCTCCTAGATTGTGGAAACAAAATACAAAAATTTTATTGAGAAATTAATGTATCTTTTTATTATCAACAGTCATATAAAATATTTTTGATTTTTTTTGCTCTTAATTGCATGATCTTATCCAGTCTTGAGTTGTTTTCTTGATCAATATTTAATAGTCACATGAAAAGTTTCCTTTCCAATTGTTTGAACAATTGATGTTCGGATGAGTTGTTTAGCGTCACTTTTTAACATTATTTACACACATTAATTTAAATTTAATATATAGATATGTGTGTGCAATATTGTTTCAGATTTATAACATTTGATGATTTCATATTTTTAATAGAAAAATTGGTAATAGCTGTAAATAAATATGATCTTCACTAGAGTCTAGAGACTAGATGTATTACGATACCTTGGAGAGGAACTCAAAAAGATTTTGGTGATTTTTTTTTTTCATTTTGCTGTAAATTGGTGAAGTAATATTTCTAACATTTGTTGATACAGAAAAACTGTTGGCAATTTCAAATAAATTAATAAAAAGGTGGCATTCATGCCATTTTAGTAAAATTCAGTAATATCTGAATAATATAGTAAAGAATTTGGGAACTTTTTGAGGTAAAATTTTTTCTTTGTTGAGTTAGTTAAATAATATTATCATGTTCAGGGACTTGATTTTTTCTATTAATTTTTTTATTACTCAAAACATTCTTTAGTAATCATTATGTGATTTTAAAAAAGTTTATATATATTAAATAAAAGTACACGCGCAACGCGCGTACTCTAAAACTAGTATTAAGAAAAAGAGAAAGGAAGACATAATAGTATGTGCAAGAATATTGTCTTCCCCAAGGTCTTATAGGCAATTCAATTTCTTAAAATCACATGACAGAAATGCCGAAATATGCCTTCTTATACACACATATAGCCTCAACAAATGGGGAAAAATATCACTTCCAAACAAGCAACAGTAGACATTGCAAGAAAAACCTCTTAAGAATTGCAGAACATAAAAATCAATCACCAGCCCTCTCCTCTCTCCCCTGGCACCAACCGGTGTTTCTCGCAAGCAACTTTTGTCTTCCCAAAATACATTTATCCATCTCTATCGTCTTGACCAAATGCATTTGTCATTCCCAGATTAGCACTTCAATTAGGTTTCTTAGGTGAACTCTCCATCTACTTAAACTAATGCGATGACGAAACCCATATACTATACATGCATACATATTAAATTCTCAAAAATATAAGGATCATATCAGTACTGCAAAATTCTACATAAACAAATATTTTCCATATTAGGAGACCCTTATTTCAAGTCCAGAAAAATAATCACTAAAGTCTCAACCATCCTTTACAATACAGACCTGAATGGCTGTCCAATTCAGAGTTCACAATATGTCCTAAAGATTGTTAAGTATCTCAATTCATTTGCCACAGAACAGGATATCTACGGAGCCAAGTCACTAAGAGGAAGCATGAAGATAACTATTACGATGCAATTCCACAAAAAGTACAACAACAACAAACCCAGTGAAATCCCACAAGCGGGGTCCAGAGAAAGTAGTGTGCACACAGACCTTACCCTATCTGGTGCAGGTAGTGAGGCCGTTCCCGAAAGACCCCCGGCTCAGGCCAGCATAGTCACAGCAATTTCTACAAAAGTGCACGTTTCATAAATTGGAGAAGATATCATGCAGAGTTGGTCCTTTGAGTACTTCAGATCTCCCTCTCTTTTTAACTCCTTAAGCCACTGCAACTAGAGCCCTACCCTTCCCCACGGGAACTGGCTCGAAAGGAGAATAAGTACTGCAGTGAAAGTTTGAGATTGAAGTTTGCTTCTTCAAAGCTAGGATTGAAAAGATTTAGTGGCCACCCCACTAGCTCCACCCTCGGATTTTTAGCACGGTAGATGGCTGTTCTTCACATTAATGAAATGTGAAGAACAGTACAACAGACCTGAATGGCTGTCCAATTCAGAGTTCACAATATGTCCTAAAGATTGTTAAGTATCTCAATTCATTTTCCACAGAACAGGATATCTACGGAGCCAAGTCACTAAGATGAAGCATGAAGATAACTATTACGATACAATTCCACAAAAAGTACAACAACAACAAACCCAGTGAAATCCCACAAGCGGGGTCCGGAGAAAGTAGTTTGCACGTAGACCTTACCCTACCTGGTGCAGGTAGTGAGGCCGTTCCCGAAAGACCCCGGGGCTCAGGCCAGCATAGTCACAGCAATTTCTACAAAAGTGCACGTTTCATAAATTGGAGAAGATATCAAGCAGAGTTGGTCCTTTGAGTACTTCAGATCTCCCTCTATTTTTAACTCCTTAAGCCACTGCAACTAGAGCCCTACCCTTCCCCACTGGAACTGGCTCGAAAGGAGAATAAGTACTGCAGTGAAAGTTTGAGATTGAAGTTTGCTTCTTCAAAGCTAGGATTGAAAAGATTTAGCGGCCACCCCACTAGCTCCACCCTCGGATTTTTAGCACGGTAGATAGCTGTTCTTCACATTAATGAAATGGTCATAAATAATTTGCCAATACTTCTCTTTCTACACTTCTGGCGCAATCAGAAGTCAAAGGCAAAGAATATTCCCTGGCTGCGCACCCATTCTACCCATCTAATAAGTAATAACACTATTGACATTGTTCATTACCCCTCCAAACGATCAGGTCCAGTCCCATTGCTCGGGGACAAATCATGCTTCATCTAACTGAGGTTCATAAAATATATTGTAGAATAAGACGTGCAAGCTATCCTGTCATCCAATATATCAAATTGGAAATTACCCTAATCAAGTAACATGGAGTATCCTATTTGGTGATGATATTGTACTAATTAATGAAACTAACGAGGGGTGTCAACTAAAAGCTAAACTATGAAGAAGCACTATAGAGAGTACGGATTTTAGGATAAGCAGAAATAAGACTAAGTATATGCTCGGTTTAGTCAGCATAAGAAGAGTGAAATTGAGGTGAGATTAGACGAGATTGAGGTGCCTAAATAGAAGCAATTCAAATATTTAGACTTGTTGTTCCAGGAGAATAATTACATATGAAACAGATACACATTGAATCAAAACCGGACAGCTGAAACCGGGGTATTTTTAACAGTAAAAGACTATCAGGGTGTTAAAGTAATAGAAGGATGCCTACCAAAGTGAAAAGGTAAGTATTATGGAAAAGTTATAAGATTCATCAAGGGAAAATTTCACATAAGAACAATCGGGCTCCCTACTTATCAATTTTATAGCCCACATTTCAATTTACAACCAACTAGCCCAAAAATAATAGGCTAAGATTCAACATCCAACTCCAATAGGTTCTCGAAATTACTATTTAATTTTTTAAAAAGATTGTTCAAGCTTTTAAGTTAATTTTTAAATCAATAACTGTGACTCAAATATTAGTTCAACAAACCAAATCCATTTGGGTGGTGAAAATTAGATTTTTAACAAGCTTAAATATGTGGGTTTAATTTCGAATTTGATTTTGTGAGAAATTTGGAGTGGATGTTATTTAGACTTGTTAGAAATAGTATAAGGAGGTTGTGTATAAAATTTGAAGTCATTTAATGGAGATTTGGACTGGTTTTGAACAAGAATTGCAACTGAAAATCGTGAAAGAAGTTCGTCTATAGACGCTTGTATAAAGGTGTATAAAAGTGTATAATAGTGTATAAGATGTGTTTATACACTCATACACACTATTATACAAGATTATACATAATTATACAAAAAACTGACTTCGTCTTCTTCCTTGCGTCTTTTCTGAAATTTAACTCAAATCTTGCTCAAATCTACTCCAAATCACTT